ACAGGAACAACTCTTATAACACACTGACAGATTTATATGACTTTTAACCCTGGATTCGAAATGGAGGTTAATATTCCTGAAGCCACTATATATATCCACAGAGATTGAAAAAAGTGTTAATTGTTTTAGTATTCTAGCATACTCATGAAGTGAAACAGAATGAGAAAGCACACCATTTCGCCCTCTTCACTCGACTGTTTCGGTTTTTTAAATACAAATGTGTGACATCAGGTTTGAAGATATGGACAACGTAAAATTGACATTGTTAGTTTTTCTTGATACTCGAAAGGCCTTGATTCAATTGATCATTCGATTTACTGGAAAAAGTTGAGTTTTATGGAGTCACTTATAGTGAACTGATGGTTTAAGTCTTACGGTCCGACAAAAACAATGTTTGGTAAATGGACATTTATCTTCTGAAAGAAACTTACTCTGTGAAGTTCCTAAAGGGTCTATTCTTGGACCCCTGCAATTGCTCTTTTATATAAATGACTTACCAAATTGCTTAGAGTTTACTACCCCCTGTTTTTATGCTGAAGATACCCAAATCTTTGCCTCTAGTACAGACGCAAATGTTCTTGCTAATAATATCAATTCTGATATAGAAAACCTTTGTGATTGGATCACAGTTAATAGGCTCCAACTTGCCCCTTTAAAAACTAAGTTAATGCTCATCGGGTAGACATATAACTTAAATAATAAATCTAAAGATTTACCTGATGCTATATCCATTGACAACAAGACGCTACGGAGCGAGCGTACACTTCGGCGTCGTGGTTGTGGAACTAATTAATTGTAAATGCGGAGGAATAGTAAGAAATCAAATATGGTAAGAGTAAGGTGTGAAATTATGGGATTTGTCAGGATATTCTGAAAAGAGCAACATCCAAGAGGCCTACTTGCCAAAAACTAGCATTTGATGACTCCATACAAATCCTTCTAAAAAACAATTCTCTATTTTTCTTAGTCACATCAGGCTTCAAAAACAGCATAGCAGTCTCATGTACTGATTAAAGATATGTAAGGTATGGGTAAGGAGTCAATTACGTTGAGCATGGAATTGGCTAAAACTCAAAGTCACGAGTTCGAATGTTTTGAGGATAATTATTCACTGACTATCAGCACGCAGGGATGTCGGATTAACACAAGGAAGTTTAACACCAAAGGAACATAGCCTTCACAGAGCTTTAAAACACAGCATCCGCCAACCCAAACTTGACTTGAACTTTTAGTAAAACTAAACAGCCTCTACCAATAATAACAAACTCTCACTTGAACTTCAGATATCTTACGGCTTCCGCGAACTTGTAAACACAGACCCTGAAAATCGACCTTCGTCACACTTGACTAAACACAGCAGTCCAGCTCGTGGGAAAAAACTTAGTTCGTCAAAAGAACTCGATTGGAACTTGTATACCGTTTGACATAAGGTTCTAGAAAATACTAAACAGGCGAATAGTAGTAACTTTTCGACATATTTTATGATTTCAGTAACTGATGCAAATCAGGGGGGAGGGGATTTGATCCCTGGGACTATCCCCGCTGTCGGGCTTTTGATCGTGCGAAGCGACACCGGGGTCCGGACATTTGACTTTGACCGACAGAAGCCTGGTATCAATTCAGAAGCAGTTACCAAGTCCGTCCCTCGGGGCTTCCTGAAAGTCACGTTGTTGGAGAAAGGTATGAAGTTTTCATTTGTTTTAATCGCCATAATCCGATACTTTAAACTGTCATCTAAACAGATAATGTCTATTTTGACGAAGTTTTTATCTTCAAGTTCCCATCTGATAGTAAAACTCGATTGAAATCGAATTCCACCATGAAAGTCAGAGGATTTTTTATGCGTCACTGATCCGACCTGTTCCTACATCTTGAGCAGATGTTATAAAGCATTTTACGTTTTATTAATATTATATAGCACGGTCAATCTTCCTGGAGTGATTTTGTTGTTCAAGATAAGAGATGCTTGTGGAGAGAGAAAATACTCAATTACAGCGAATAATTTAATGGAGCTTCCGTTAACCGTAAATAAAAGTAGTAACGACGTGTTTGAAATGTTCTTTTATTCGTTTTATATAGTATTATAGCATTGTTTGTTTAGATTTTTCCCCCTGGGGTGGGGGCTTTTTTGACACTTTTGATTGACCTTTCGTTTCCCACCCTGGGGAATTTGATCGAAAAATTTTAAAATTTGTCAAATCCCCACCCCTTGCCCGCACTCCCCGATGCAATAATTTGTATGTGTGTGTATTTTAAACTTTGTAATTTCTCTTCAAAACTCCCACCAACATAATTGTATTGTAAACCTTTCTAGCTATATTCGACTTTATTGTATACATTTTTACATATTAATTATTCTCTTAATTTTGCAAATTTGTGAACACCATACTGCTTCTAATTGTTTGTAATGCGTGTTTGCCTGCGTCCCACCTGGAAACCAGCTTTTGTTGCGTGTGGTTAGCGTGTTGACTTGACTTGACATTATATTATAAGATATATTTCGCCAGGTCAGTTCATGATTGTAGTTGTAAACAGAACTTGTGCAGAAGGGAAACAAGGAAAATCATAGTTTCAATCCTCTTGCAAGCTATTAAAGCGTTTCCATATATTTTATCCTGTGAGGAAACCCCGAGTCCACAATGCACCTCCGTCCTTTTTTCTCACATAAACTGTACATTTAGAGATGTAAACATTTCTTCGATCGGTTAAATGATGCAGCAATAATAGATGATGAAACACCAAACACCGTTTCGAACACTATCTTTGTGTTTTCTTATCTCCAATGATTCAAAAACATCAGCTCCAGCTTTTTGTTTATCAAAATTTTATTCTCAAAACTTTATTTTAAAAAACCGAGATATAAAAACAGCATTTAAGGCTTTAAATGCGGAGAATTGAAACACATAGTCCTAGCTAGAGAACCAATCAGATTGCTTAAAACACCAAGATCTCTGAGTGTGTATTATGTTGTACTTAATTTTTTATTTCAGGTTATTTTGTTTTTTTCTTTTGTTTTTGTGTATGGTAATGTATGCTAATGAAGTTAAAACAAAAGAAAAAGAAAAAATACTTGTTAGATAAAAAAATTAACTGCGCAACGGATATACTAAAGTTTTATACAGCTTGCAAGTTTTTACCCGTCAATGAATAATGTAATGATTCCATTCACATACACGTTCAGTGTGCCAATTCCTTTAGCAACTAGTAAATTAAAGCTTTATTAGTTATTAAACCATAATTCTCCTATGCGAGTCGGCTGTATCCATGTACTGAACATGTAAACAAAACTGAGACTTCATACGCATCTGTCGTCTTTAATATTACGTTCTTTTTGCTTCTCCCTTTTTTGGACTGGCGGTCGCTTATATGGGAGGTGTTCACTTACGAGAGGCCGATCGCACATGGAGATTCGACCGTACTGCCGAAATTTCAAGCATGGCGTTCACTTCTTCCTCGAGATGAGATGCAATACTTTATCCTCCCGAGAGATCGCCGCTCTTTCGTTGAAATCGATATATATAAACAAACAAATGCGCAATGCCTCACGGGAAGTGAGAGTCTTTAATTCCCCTAGTTACTTATAATTTAAAATCTTTGTTTTTAATGTCTCTACCATATCTACCGGAAGCCCAAATGGATAATTTGCACTGTCAGTAGCCCACAATACGCCAACCTGCTGAAGTCATTGTCAAGTCATGTCCTCCGTTAGTTAAGTGGTGAAGTAGCTTGTTGTAGAACATATCACTTGACATAACCGAGATTCTAGTCAAAATACGAATTTTTCAATAAATGAGTGAAAAAAGAATAGATTCAGAATGGAGAGTCAGAAACTGGCGCGACAAGGGAACACAACCTTAATTTATGTGCTAAATGCATTTGAATTATAAGCACGATTGTGCTCCATTTTAATCAGATGGTTTGAGACAGGCCTCATTCGAATGATTATGATTCACCTATACTTAATGACACAGCCAAAAATGGTACCTTCTTGTGTCGTTCCACTCCATTTTCGTGTTTTTTTGTTGTTTTTTTTTTTCAAATTTTGTCTTTTACTTGTAAGTGATTTGGACATAGAAGTATTCCCATACATCACAACAAATTTTTCTGTGTACCTTTTACTTGTACTATTATCATTACCATTATCATTATTATTTATTTCAACAACGCCTGCTTACATCTTGGATAAAACGTTGGTTTTAAAAACATTTCAAACTCTACATAATGCATTTTTAAACTTGGTTAATAACGCGAGAAGAATTAAAGTGCAAAAAAATTAATACATACAATTATTATAATAAAACTGCCACCAAGTATATAAAATAATCGAGTATTGCTTTTGTTTAGGAAACGGCTAGGAATGAAACTGAAATAGTGCGATTCATTACTTTTCCACTAGTTTCCTTCTCTATGATACTCAGGCAATACAGAAATCAATTGTATAGTTAGTTATTAGCCCAAACGTATTCTAAGCTAAAATAATTAGGGTTCATGTTTTTAGATTTCGAATGTTTTTTTTTTCTTTTCCTCTCCGTTTGAAAACATTTACGTGTTATAGACTATGTAAATAATGGATTTTAAGTTGCTCCAGCATCAATTTTAAGCACCTGCCGTTTAGTTGCAAATCAACAAATTAACAGCTTCACGGCTAAGTAAGCAAAAGATAAAGGGCTTGTTTTTGTCCTCATTTTTTTTCTTTCCACCTCTTTCTCATTTTATTTTATTTTATTTTTTGCTTTTTTGTAAGGTTAACGTTACCCAATCGTCATATTCGTTGACGTTTAACATTAGAAGTATTAGTTCATTTATTATTATCATTTTTAAAGAACGTATTGAAGCGAACGAAATAAATTAAAGGGCCACAATCTGCATATATTTTTTTAAAGATATCATTTAACACGTCCCCTCATATTCCCTTAATTTGTTCAACCACAACATAGTTAAACATATCCACTCCTTATCGTCGTATAGACGCTTTGAAAACCGCTGCTTAGAGTGGGTGG